ATCACAATGCCTGGCGCTAAAGCGTGAAGATGGGTCAAAACTATATCAGGAAAAGAGCACAAACCTGGCAGAAGAAAAACGTACAAAACGCAAAGAGAGAAAAGCGCCGGTCGGAACTCTAGTCGCACCTCCTTGTCCAGTTTGTTGAAGGAAGTTCCGATCCATGCGAGGATTTGACTCGTAAGCCATCATCTCACTCAGAGCAAAACACAGTAACATACGAATTGAAATTACGGTCATCTTCGATATGGTAGGACGAACTATCAAGTGAGGGATTTTTAGATCTGGTGAAATTTCTGAAATACAGTGTTTTTCACCGTCTACTTTGTAATGTGTGGTACAAAATATTAAAAAAAAAGAAATTCAATCTATGAAAAGAGTTTAAAGGCCAAGTAAACTAACAGTCACAGAAATAAGACTTCTTCGACACATGACCGTTCACGGTCGCTCAGTCGGTAGAGCGCTCGCTCCGTGATCGGGAGGTCGTGAGTTCGATTCTCGGCCGCGACTGACCTAAGTCGATAAAAATATGGGTAGCAACTGTTTCTTCGTCATGCGCTCGACACTTTGAAGTGAAAGTTGCGGGTCATTCGGATGAGACCTTAAAAACCGAGGCCCCCTGTCACGGCAGGCGTTGGCACGATAAAGATCCCTCACTGCTCAATGGCCCTAAGAGCCGAGTAAAGGTCAAAATTTGAAGCCCTTCACCGGTATAAGGTGACGTCTCTATATAAGTGAAAAATTCTCGAATGGGACGTTAAACAACATACAATCAATCAATCAACAATCTTCGATACATGTATCTGCTGAAGTAAGAGCAAACAGCGTAGAAAAAAAATGAGGTTTCATACCGCGTCTTACCAGCTCTTTCCCTCTGCCAAATCCCTTTCCATTTTTCAATATTTTGTCACAGGTGTATCAATAGTTGACACAGGAATACTCCGTGCTTAAGAACTATCACTAAGTTTGCAATTCTTTAATAATAAGCATGTACAATAACATTTCTTCTTTCAAGTGAACTCATTTTGAACATTAGCAATTGACCGGCAGTATACAAAAAAGGTACAGTCCCTGAAACGTTCTACTTTCCCATTTTTCCGTTCGCTCTCCGTTCGTTCAGCGTGCGTTCACCGTTCGTTCACCGTGCGTTCACCGTTCGCTCTCCGTTCACAGTTTTGCGTTCACCATTCACCGTGCGCTCGCGTTCACCGTTCACAAAGCGTTCAGCGTTCGCTCTTCGTTCCGTTCACTTTGCGTTCACCTTGCGTTCAGCGTTCACCTATCGTTCAGTTGTCACTGCCATTCGGAACTCCCAAGTGAAAGGACTTATCTTTTTGTAGGTAAGGAGTTACATATTTTTGAATTTAATACTAACATATGGTGTTTGAAGAATCATTATTTCATGGGGGAAAATATCTAAGATATATATTTTTATTATTCTAACTTAGCTATTAGGTTATTTATTAAATTACTCTGGAAAAAAAATGTTGTTATAAGCACATCCTGTAGCTATGTAGAACGATGCTGAAATATTAAATTTAACTAAGGCCAATGTGCAAATACTTCATGCACTGCAACATTTTGATGTTTTTTTAAAGACGACAAATCGTTAATGGAGATATAATTATCCAAGTCAAATAATTACGCAGCAAAATTACGAAAATATTTATTTCTAACGCCTTTTTTTTTATTCAATTACTACAGAAAATATGATAGAACTAGTTCTGAGAGTTATACATAGTACTGCGGATATCCTGTTAATTTATTATCTTTGGAGCGAATTAAATTGATAGTGTGTTTAAAGGAAATGTTTATTTAAAATGTAATGCACTACAGAATATTAGCTACTATAATACATGTATGTAAAGTCTATAATTATAGAGAAAAAATCTTTCTTCACCGTAACTTTATATGTTTGCTATTCGATATGATTAATATCCCCCCCCCCTTTTTCCCCTAAATCGGTTACTTAGTCAGTACTGTATTTCCAGAAAATTTTAATTAACCTGTTAAAAAAAAGTTAAGGTCTTTTTTAGAACAAAAAATTCAGTCTCAAAACAAACATGCATCTAAAAAAGTCACAAAACAATAGTAGTTCAAAATGTACACGTGTCGGCGGTGGTATTTGAAATTGGCAGAAGTATGTTTCAAATTCAAGTGTTAATGCCCAATATATTTTATTCACTAATTATTCAAATGTTGGTATCAAATCTAGAAATGATAAAAATAAATGTTATAACTTGTTGGAAATACTCGCACTTCGTCTTCGATGTGACGAAACTTTCACACCTGCACAGTGTCGAATGATTTTGATTGACAGGACAAGCACGTGGACTTCGTGTGAACTTGAAGCAGGAAAATAAAAACGAGTAATACTGTCTAACAGATGGATATGATTTGTTGATAAAAAAAAAATTACTTTCACTGTCTAATATATTTAGAAAAAAATATCAGAGTTATTGTTTGATATAGGTGCAAACATTTAGTGAAACCTGAAATGAAGGGGGGGGGGGCTAAAAGGGAATATCTCTCTCTCTCTCTCTCTCTCTCTCTCTCTCTCTCTCTCTCTCTCTCATTTGTCTGTTTGATAAAAATTATAACAGCATATTACTTAAATATCAAGTTCTGAAAATTGAATTTATAACAAATAATATGAATATGTATCTTTGTATTATCTTGTACGAGTGTAATCACGGCCATCTACAGATACATGTAGAAGTCTGCTCAATAAATCATCATGAAAAATAGAAATGACACATAATATATTATTGTATTAAAAATTTAAAATACGAGCGTATAAATGCAAAACGTCCACTGACCTTTGTAATTAATTTTTTTTATTGCTTCACATGAAATCGCCTTGACACGGAGATACATATATGAATGGATGTTACAATCGCTTTAATTCATTCTATAAGTCAGAGGTTTTCTCTGATTTGTTATCAAATAAGAATAAACATTTTTATTTTCCAACTAAAAAAATATCTTTTATACTTCAGCGTTCGGCAACAATTGCAATGTTTTAATGCGTTAAAAATCGTGTGATTAAAAACTTAATGTGCATGAATCGTCTTTCTTAGGACAATTTTGGAGAATTTATTTTATTGACTTATTTATTCATTCATTTATTGGTTTACTTATTTATTATTTTTTTTGGCACCTGACATTATTGCTAGCGCTCTCGAGCGCTAGCAACTACGTTAGTCTATATTTCTGAAATACGCATGCTCGACTTCACGGTCGGGGATTCTGGGAAAACTACTGTAGATGGACTGTACGAAAACAATTTCTTTTTGTCATAGAAAAATAGAAATGATCCGAATTTACACTGGCCTTTCCTGTCTGATATGCGCGATATACATTTCGTACGTTAGAGACAGTCAATACCAGTCTTGATCCGGATTCTGATTTTTTTTTTTTAATTTATTGTCTAACCTACACATAAAAGTACAAGAAAAAATTTGGCCATATAATGTCAAGATTCTAGACATCTAGCTTTCCTTACAGTTCTACCACCTTAGTGGATAATTCCAGCAAGCTCGGAAAAAACAACAACAACAACAAAAATCTTTTTTCAGAGTATGTCGGAAAGACATGGCAATTTAGAGTTTATCATCTGAAAATACATATGATCTGAAGTTTCGTGTTTTGTTGTCTAACCTGCACGTAAATGAACAAAAAGTAACAGTTACTCGGGTCTTATAAAACCAAGACTGTTATTTCTAAAATTGTAATGAATACATAGCTTTTCTAATTTACCTTCATGGATCTTTCCGGCAAGCTCGGAAAACTGCGGCAACCTCGGATATGTTTTCCGAGCTTGCCGGAAAGGCCCGAAGGTGCTCATTGGTACTACTGACCTTTTACTTTTCACCTCGAAATTGAAATTACAGTAAAATACAGAATGCTTAAAGCACAGTTAGGAGTTATGCCATTGCCGACGTGAAGCACACTCTTAGATTCACCATTCTGAATTGTGACATCCCCCCCCACACACAAACTCAACCCCCAGTGCACCAATCTGCCTTCCTATTAATAATTAATCTATTCAGCAAATTTAACAAATGGTTCGGATATCTTCTTCTGTATTTTATTATGCTACAGCGCTAGCTCACCAATCTTTTTAAAAGATAAGCTTGTAATACAATAAAATAGTTTCAATGCAAGGAAAAGATCAAAGGCATTCCGAATATATCGTTCATCTTGCGTTCACCGTTCGTTCACCGTTCACTTTGCGTTCGCGTTTGCGCTCCGTTCGCGTTCTGCGTTCGCTCACCGTTCAGCGTTCACACATCGTTCACCAAGTTGCGTTCAGCGTTCACACATCGTTCACTCACCGTTCGCTCTGCGTTCGTTCACCGTTCGTTCAGCGTTCGCTCACCGTTCAAGTGGGAAAGTAGAACGTTTCAGGGGCTGTAAGTTATTTATAAAAACTCAATATAAGGCCATTTTTCTTTAACAAATAAAAAATGCCTCTACCAACTTACCTACCCAATATTTTTTATCCCCAGTCGGAAGAGAGCAACGAAACCTAACATAAGACAGTAGCAAGTATTGTCCTTCGATTAAAAATTGATTTCATATTTTAATATGATATAAAAAATATTTATATATATATATATTTATATATTATATTATATTATGTATTATAATATATATATATATATATATTTATATATTTTTATATTTTATTTTGCAAAGATTTGGGGGAAAAATACAAAAAAAAAATTCAATTATTTCTGGGAAATCTATATAGTAAGGAGAATATTGATGTTGTTTCTATTTTCCCAGAACGTGAAGAACTTTTACAACTAGAAGTGACCAGATTACGGGAAAAGAACAACAACCTCACCAGTATTTACTTTAGTTGTATTAAAAAATCTTTCACCTTCTTTAAAGTCTAGTTTTTGTTGTTTCTATAAAGATCACTGTAATTAGATTAAACGAAAAAAAAGTATATATAAACTGCCTAAATGGCAAGGCCATAGAGGAATTGTATCATGTCACCTTTTCTATTCATAGACAAAGGACAGTCTTTGCAACAGCAAATACACAGTCAGCAAGAAAAACTCCAAAACTGTTTAGGTGGGATATATTTTTTTTTATCTATTAGTAGAAAACTGTTTTCCGTCTATATCATATATTATTAAAAAAAAAAAAAAAAATCAAGCATGTGCATGCATGTATAGTTTAAAATAAGCAGTCGACTCTTAATTACTAGTCGGTTTTAATCTTTGTCATTTTAAGATTTTTCATGGCCAAAAGTCTGAAGTATGTTTGTGATATTTTTTTTCAACCTTAGTCAGATTAAAAAAGTTTTATGTATTTATATAAATTAAACACAATAAAATTTAATTTTGTTTTAGGGAAAAATAGTAAATATATTCAAGCTAATTCAGAGAATTTGTATTCAATGCTTTGAGACAAAAGATGAGGATAAATGAACCTATTAAAATCTACATATGAAATAGAAAAACGTAGATATTGACCACTCAGCTTTTTTGCATGAAAGTAGCGTCTATTGAGGTCTTCTTTAAGTTTATAAAAAAATAATAATAATAATAATAATAAATGGACTTAAGTGATATGGCAAGGCATGATTTCTCATGTTTTTTGCATGTTTGACTTGTACATTAATACATTCTACCTAAAACGTTGAATAAGTCCTTTGCAAAAACGGACATATTTTCATCTATGACTTCGAAACAACGTTAAGCATGTTGATATTTTTGTACTAGAATTTCTTTATTTACTGATTAATCTGAATATCGTATTTTACAACCCAACATCTGGAAACCTTTGTTATCTCGAAGTTTTTTTTTCTATCGATCCCATCGAATTCGAGATAACGAGGTTTCACTGTAGCTCTTTTATGTACATTAAACAGCTTGTCCAGATGTGTGGATTCCATTAGAAAACAACTGTTACTTATTTTCAAACACCAGTGCCACATTTGGTGCAGCAAAGGTGAGTAAAATTAAGAGGAAAATTGAGGACTTTTTCAAGACTGCTTTGCTAATAATTCAAATGAAATTACGATTCAAATAGGTTTGTTAATGTTAACACAGTGACCAATGCTTTACAGGAAATTTGTAACAGAGCCGGTGCTTATATCCTTGAAGACCAAAGCCCAAGGGAAAAGTCACTTACAAAAACAAAAGGTAAACATGTCTCTCTTTTTTATATAAAATTGTGTATTCTGTGCAACATGATATTTCAAACTTTAAAACAAAGTAAAAATACACCTCTTTCAAATGCGAAGAAACAACTTAGAGAAAAATTAACCTAAATAAAAAGGAAAGAGAATAAGAAAACAGTATATTTAACTGGCTTTAAGGTTATGACAAGATGTGGATTGGCGTGACAGATAATCGTCAAGAAGGTGTCTTTGTTTATGAATCCACGGGCACCAGGGTGAATAATGGCGATTGGGTCAAGGGTCAACCAGGCGGAGGAAGAAATGAAAACTGCGCAGTAGCTTATAAAGATAGCAATTGGCAGTGGCATGATTATCCATGTAATCATAAGTTTGATTACGTCTGCAAGAAAACGAAAGGGACTTTTAAAATGTGATGTCAACATGATCTTTACTCCATTAATAACTTACCAAAGTTTTTATTGTAAGCTAAAATTTAGCAACGTAAACTATAATTAATTGTAGTAGTAAAATTTTTGTAAATTATAGTCTACTACAGTGAAATATTAATGTACTATTGTGATACGAAGCTAGGTTAAGACCTCCCATATATACATCCAACTATACAAGGGTTTGCAAAAACAATTATGACATATGTTGTATTCTATTATGAGAATAAACACAACATAAAATAAGGATATAAAAATAAGTATAAGTATCAAGTTGTATTTTATCATAACCAACTCACTTTGATTATAGAAACGAGTACTGTTAATGAGAAATGGCGTGCAAATCGGAGAATTTAATACACGTATCAAGTACAACAAAGAGAAAAGTAAATGCATTTCTTCTTTAAAAGCGATGCTAAATATTTATAAATAGCTCAATACAGATAAAGTTTAGTCTTTATACTTTTATCTAGCACAGCCATAAAAAAGTATTTTCAAAGATAACTGAAATAACACCAGGTGGAACAAACCTATCACTTCACAAAAATATCTAAAAATTAGAAAGATAATATTTAACGTCTTTAAGAAATTGAATACTGGATAAGGATTTTCAACTAAGTCAATTCACTGCTACAAAACAGAATAAATTAAATATAGATGGAAAACCTTCACATTTAGAAATTTCTCTCCATCTCTTTATACCTATCATTTCGTTTTTTAACATAAGAACATAGAAACCTGCAAAACATAAGAACATAGAAACCTGCACTCAACCTTGTGATAACATTTAGTATTCTTTAATTAATGGATGAGTGTAACTAAGTACACTACGGCCAAACAAGACGATGTTCAACTGTCATCAACAATGACAAAAGGAATGGGTCAATCATACCCGTTATTCGAACAGCTGAGTTTCCCCCAAAATCCTCAGTGACAATCATGTTTGGATTGAACAATCTTGCAAATCATGAAGTGCAGTTTTATCGTCCGTTTTATAAGAAATATCATCGTGAATGTAGACAATAACACAACTTTGTTTCCGCTTTCCCGATCAAGATAAGAAGCACACGGCGGGTGTGACCGGTCGACAGGGGATGCTTACTCCACCACGGCATCTGATCCGACCTCTAATGTTTTAGATGTCCGTGTTTGCTTTTCTCACAATGTGTGTTGTTTCAATTGACTTTTGAGCTTGATTACTGTTCCATAATTCAATGTTTTATTTCAAAACAGTGTTTCTAATTCTATCTTACATCGTGTATTGTTTTTTTTTCCCTTTCGTAATTTGGCTTTATCAGAGGTAAATTATTATGGATGGTCTATGACAACTTTTCTCACGGACAACGCCATTACTGACAATTCGTCATTTCATGTGTGCGACCATTGATGAAAACGTCTAAATAAAAGTTTGTTTTTTTTTTTTTTTTTTTTTTTTTTTTCATGACACGAATAGAAGTAAAAACATTTTTAAAAATGCAATTATTATATTTTTTGAAATTACATTTTTTTATTAATAATTGACACATTCCGACAAAAATAAAACAGCAAATTTTGTCATATGTTCTAATGTTGTTCGAATGCATAAGCTTTCATATGTTTAAAAATGAATTTAAGCTCCTTTTACACCTGGGCTGCGTTCTCGCTGCTATCATGAAGCGAACAGAAAAAAAAAAAAAAAAAAAAAAAAAAAAAAAAAAAACCAGCCAAATTCTGCGGATTAAAATTTATCAGAAAAAATATATGTTTCTTTTCTCCTTTTCTCAAATAGCTTTTAAAAGTGTATAAAAATGGTAAGTTCTTGAAATTCAGCTTTGTCTTTTAGTAAAGATGAAAAGAAAACGAGCCCTGAGATCTGAAATTAAATATATTTTCCTTCCTGACTAAGAGTATAATGAATGATGAGTTGTATGTTTCTAAATAAAGGTATTTTTTTCCTCAAGCAAATGATGGAAAACATTAAAAATACATTGTGGAAAACAACAATTTGGAATTCAAAAAGTAATAGTCGGGTTTTCTGGAGAAGAAAAAAAAAAGGTTTTTAATGAACATTTAAGTTCATTTATAAATACTCTAGGTAATTTGTCGATAAATATTTTTAACTGTGTGATTTTTTTAAAGAAAATATGAGATACAGTACCAGCATCGTTATTCTTTACAAATCTATTGTGTCCTATCGTGCGTTTATCCTATCGTATCGTGCGTGTATCCTGTCGTATCGTACGTGTATCCTATCGTATCCTATCGTATCGTGTTTTCCGTTTATAAGGTTTTGCGTTTTCTATCGTGTTTTCCGTTTATCAGGTTTTGCGTTTATCGTGAAGATCGTTTATCAGGTTCTATCGTGTATCGTGTTTTGCGTTTATCGTGTGCATTCGGAAACCCTCGCTTTTCATCTTTACCTTGAAAAGAAACACCCGAGATATCTCGAGTTCTTCTTTCGTTTTGTTAATTTATTTAGGATTAATCTAACTGTTGAACAAAAAGAGAAATTAATACTCTAACTCTGGTATATCTTTTAAAGAAAATAAATAAATAAATAAATAAATAAATAAACGTCAAGTACCGTCACCAAGCAGAGAGCATAAATCGAAAGTCAAATTCTATTTTTGTACATGAAATAATCGATCTACTATTTGAGTCATTCGTTTTTTGTTTTTTTTTTTTTAATTTGTCGATATGTAAGAAATATTTTTGTCAAAGATAGAAATATTATAATCCCTTTACACAGTCAGAGTCACGAAAGCGAGACACTTATAATTACCTTTGTTTTGATAATTATAGAAACATAAAACATTAGGTATGTGTGCAAAAAATAAATTATGAATTAAAAAATATCAGTAGGCCTATCTTTATTAAGGCTATCCTTTTTATCAATAACGGAAACATAAATTTTGTCTATGCGCGCAAGTTTTGTTGTTCCTTTGTATTATTATTTTTCTCTGATAAGTATATATTATAATATAGATGTTTGCCATTCATATTTAACTACTGCATTTAGAAGATGTGAAAAATAAATACATAAATAGACAAAACCACACATTTTTTTTTTATTATACATCTTACCTACTTCGGCGCGGAGATGAAGTAATCTATACCGTAACTTAGTGACAGGTGGAAGCGCTGCCGTGACAAGAGAACTGGCACCTACCTGCTTAATCAGTACACTGTCTTCTTGTCAAGTCAAGACCCCTACCCCCTTTCCCCTACATGACCGGCCCGTGTGTATTCAACGTAGACATACCTGAACTCTAGCTCTCAGCTGGTGTCAAGTATTTACCTTGAACCCTACTGGGTTTCAATGAAATGCATATACTTATTTTCTGGATATTGTTCATAATTTTTATGAACAACACTTAATTAACAATTAAAGATTTTATACTAAGAAAATTGGTAAATGTACACTTCCGTTACAGATTAAAAATTGAATAATTGAATTAAATAAAATATAGGCGAGGTTTGTCCTCCAAACTCCGTTGATTTAGTTCATTTGTATATTTTTATGTAATTTTTATTGGTTTACAGTCATAAACATGATTGGTGTGATCAAATAAAAAAAATGCGCATGTGGTACTTCTGGATCTGAGGGTTTTCTGTGTTGTCTGTCGTTGTTACATGTAAAGGCGTCTCAAAGATACATGAAAAAAAAAAATCGCCCGGTTCTTTGGTGATACACAAGACTGGTAAATACCTTGTATTTAATTTTATTCGTGTTTATCGATTGCATATAATACGTGACTATATTGAAGAAGTCAATATAAATTGTTGTTTTATTTTTATTTATTTATTTAATTTAATTTTTTTTATTTATTTATTTATTTTTTTTTCATTTTGAATCGGATTTTTTTTTTTTGCGGGGGGGGGGGAGGGGTTATGGAACCCCCTCTCCCCCCTTCCCCGCTGACTGTGCCTCAAATGGGGTTAAGACGTTCATAATTTACAAAGTTTTGTCTAATTTTGCCGATGTCGCCCTATATAAGATAAGTTTTGTAACAATTATTACAAAGTCTAATAGCAATAATTGACAATTATGCAATCCGAAAATCCACTTGTCAAATTGTGGAAATTGATTTATTATTATTTTTTGTGTGTGTTCTAATATGTTGTAAACAAGTGTACGTTACCATTCAATGTTATTTAATACAAAGCTTAAGTACCCAATAAATATATTCATATACATTGTAAGCTTAGTTTACATGTATCTATAGTAGATACAAATTCTGTTATTGTAAATGCTTATAACACAAGCACGCTAAGAAAGCAATATTATTTCTATGGGGGCGGCCGGGGGGAGGGGGTGGGGTCTAAAAAGAAATGTTTTGAAATGCAAACAAAAATGGCTAATGACATTATTATTCTCGATGGGCAATATTATATAAGCATCATATTACTACTGTATACTACACATGCTGGTACACTGTAACATTTTTTTATTTATACGACTGCATGCTCCCTTCTAGTTTAATCTTACAGGCCTATAAAAATACCAAAATAAATACAACAGAATGGAAATGAGATATTTTTTCGGATAATAAATGATGACAGATCTAGTGACGTTTATTAATTTTATTAAATTCGATTTTTTTCGCAGGTCTCCTTCCTCAAATATACATATACAATGTATGTACTTGGAATATGTAAATAATTTCTATGTGCACGGGATATGTGTGACATATATATTTATATATAGGAGAGATTAATTATTCACAGTCCAGTACACGGTCTGTCTCAATGCAACTAGCAACTTCAGCAGTTTTAAAACGTAAAAGAAATTAATCAATTTATATAAAATATAAATCAAATTCGTGAAAACTTGGAGGAGAAAGCATTAACCTTAAAATAATTATAACAATAATTTTTCAGTCCCCCCCCCCTCCACTAAATTATGACTAGTATTTTTTTTTTTTTTTTTTTTTTTTTTTTTTGAATTATTAAATACAAACTATTAAAGGCGATTCTGGATACTTCGCAGACTTCTAGCAAAAGATATT